GGAGACCGCCGCAAGCCCGGTGCTCGACTGCCTCCGCCTGCCCCGGGCCCGCCCCCACCCAGGCAGCACTAGGAGAGCGCCGAGGCCGGCTCCGGCCGCGGCACTGGAGCAGAAATAAGCAGCCAGGCAGGTAAAGGACAAAATCAGACTTTGTTTATTAAAAAAATACTTTACAGGAAAAAATTCTATGCATTCCGTTGGACTATTTTACAAAGAAATAGCTTAACAGTTTGACACTCGTGTACAGTCAGCTACTGACAGAAATGCACTGCGTTAAGAGTATTCACACAGAGGCTTGAGCGCTTCATCGCCGCACTACTCATTGCAAAACCTCTTTGAAACACTTGCTAATGTCAATAAATATACTAAGGCCGCACAAAGCAAACAGTCTTCCAGGCAATTGTACACGTCCTCTGTAGGCAGAGACCTTAGATAAATTAAAACCACAGAAAAAATCGTAGCTGCCAATCAAAATCAAATTAAATCACAAAAACAGCAATACAGGAGTCTCTTTACATGTTGTACAAAGAAATCAGAAGTGTATGTATTTCTCTAAACGCTCAGAGTGCCCCACAGACACCTCCTCAGCCCCTGTGCCACTGCCCCGAGGCTGCCGTGTGCCACCGGGACCTCTCCCCAGGCACCACAAGGACGTACAGGACGAGCTTTCAGGGGAGAGGGGACACTTTTCTGGGAGTAGAAATAAGCCCTCCTCTCTTTTTGCACCCCTTAAGCAACTACAGAGCTGCCAACACTTAACACTCCTTGGAAACTACAGTTCCAGAGTTTATTACTCAGTTGATTCAGACCTGAAAACGGCAGGCCACGCCAGATTAAGGACTTGAGCTCACGCCTGTGGGAAAAGCTCTGACAATTAGCCTTGTCCAGGGGAACTGACCTGTAACATGCAGGAAAACTGACAGAGCACAGTAGAGAGCAAGATCTATACCTGTGAAAAATGTTGACTACAAATCCCCTGAGAACACTCCACCGAGTGTCCCACCCTCCTGGAAGAGAACGTGTCAAATATCTGCACAAAATGACTTGCAGCATGTCTGAGGGAGAGAGGAAGCTGAAACTAACTGATACTTCATCTTTAACTTGCATTTTGATAGTCCACTTCTAGCACAACTGAGCCACTCACCTTTATCCCAAGTGATATTTTTAATCAACAACACTTTGTTTAAAATAGAAGCCTAAGCCCAAATTCCGTATCTCAAAGCTGATCACTCTTTATAGACAGAGCATTTGGTCGATTAGCAGTTGTCTCCAGCATACAGCAGGAGTATTTTCTATGTATCAACTGACACATATATCACAGGGCAAATCCTCATAAAATGGAGATTTGAGGATTTACAGTAACTGACCAGTGCATTCGTATTTATGAACCGTTCTGTATCTATCTGGATACTACTGAGAACTACTATTAGAACAACCCATGAAGTCTGCCAAAGTTCATCTCATTATGTAGGCTGTTTTATGAAATCTTAGAGAAATTCAAACAGCCAGCTATTTAACATGAGAGACATTCAGAAATATTTACTTGGACCTACCCAGAGATTTGTTTCGCTCAGCAAACATTAAGTGGCTTGAACTCACTGCTAAACAGCTATAGCTTATAAAAATCAGTATTCTACATGTCTTGTTCTGGAAAACATTTGCATCTTTCACATCAATGCATTGTTCTTAATTCTGCTCTGTTGTTTTAAGTGCAATTGACACAATCTTGAAATAATGGCTAGACAGTACAGCGATGAGCTTCATAAGAAATCTCTCTCATACTTTACATCCAGAATTGAGGTGGAGTTTGCAACCAGTATGTCATTTCAGTTAAAGCATACCAAAGCTGATAATGTATTTAGATAACAGATTCTTATAAAGTTTGCTCCTCTCTTCCTCAGTCTTCCAAGTATGCTAGAACAGCACCAGCAACATTCAAGTCATTTGAAGATACGTCTCTGTATTTAAATCTGACATTAGATTTTAAGTTAGTAATTGAATGAGACATAAAGAGAGCATGATACTATTCATCATGTCCCTTCATCCAAAGAGGTAAGTCAGAGCATTTTCCGGGTATTTCAGGCTGTAGTCACACAGATTTCACTAAAGCTGCAGTTCTGAAAGCAACATGAGCCACTCTGATCTTCCTTTATCTGTTTGAAAATACACTGTTAGAATTTACAGAGGACTTCCAACTTGATTCCCTCTTCATTCTATTTCAGCTTTAACTATGAAACAGACAAGCTGGTATATGGGGGCTCTTCATCTGTTTATTCTGCCTTTAAAGTTAAGTTTGCAGACTCACTGTAGTATCTGCAGATTCATCAGTTCCTGAGTGATTGTATGCAGTGCTGGCTGTCAAAGAATGGCCACCTTATTGATGTACCTTACCGACACAACCAAAGAATAGCACATGTGAGAAGTGAAATGGGCACTTGGAAGACTAGCAGACTTTGTAAAAAGGAAAGAACACCCTTGGGTAATACGATCTTTGAATGTGAAGGATAAACTGAAACCACTATTGCCTGTGAGGAATTTTACTTTGCACAACCCTTAAAGCTATGAAATTCCTCTCAACATAAAAAGTGGAAAAAACCCACCAGAGAACAGACGGCTCATTTATGAGCCAGTCTGGGTCATCTAGAATTTCTGCTAAGATTAAATTACACCCCTGCATGAATCACATTACTTTTCATCATAAAAGCTTTCCATTCTAACACCTTATTTACACAGATTACTAAACAAGTCACTACCACTTCAATCTGTAAATTAGTTTTAAATTGAAATATTTCCTAGTCCTCATTTTTGTACCGAAGACAATACATACATACACCTAAGGAGTAATACAGGTTCTAACTAATCACTGCAGTATCTTCTGATGATTATTTTTCTATCAGTTTAAAATAGTGACCTCTACACTGAGGTGCTAATATGTATATAAAAGCCTACACAAACAATATTGCACAAAGTAAGATTTATAATAGAGTAACATATTTTAGAGACCCTTATAAAGAGAAGAGTAATAATTGATATTAAAAAGATGCATCCAGAACTAACATCTTTGCTTTTGTCTAGTCTAACATAGTGTTTCAAATCTTTCCTACTCCAGTGAGGATTAGAACAAATAAAAGTTACCTGGAGACAGCTTAAGTTGCACCAAAACCCAACTTGTACTCTAAATGTGTGGAGAGGGAAAGGAGAGGGAGAAAGGGACAGGACTTTTCCTTTTGATGACTGGAAAGTGCAGTAATAAATGGGGTGAGTGAAAGTCAAATACAGATTACACGTTAACATCCAGAAATATTGAAAGATTGTTTAAAAACAGTTGACAGCTGACACCCTACACATTTAGCATATGCCACTGATTTTTCCACAGTACCTGGGCTCCCAGAAGCTACACATGGAAAAAGCAGTCCAATGCCATACTACCTTTTATTGTGAAATAGTAATACAGAACTTCCTAGAATAAGGACAGCCTTACTGTGTAAGTCAGTTATCAACCCAAGTCAATATATTAAGTGCATCAGTACAAGGGAAAGTGTGGTTCCATCGGAGACATTACGACCTGATCAAAACAAGCTGCCAAGATGGTTAGTATTTTAAAGCCTTAAAGTGCTCAGAGATAGCAGTTTCCTCCACAAGACTACCAATAGGCTCTCTAATTTTGACACTAGTATTAATCATGTTCAGGGAAGATGTATTTTGGAAGCAAAACCCTTGCACCAAACAACATAGGCAGTGCTATGAAAAGTATTAGTTCAGTAAGTTGCAATTCAACAGGATCAGACACTTTCTTCAGCTAATTTTACAGATCACCTTTTGCAGGAACTGTAAGAACCAGAGATCAATTTCTACAGCTTGTATATAAACCAACATGTCAAGAACAGACATACCAAAGATTTCACAAATCATCAAAAGTGCTGTGCTCTTTTTTTTTTTTTTTTTAGCAATTAAAATGAGATGGGAAAGTCACTTTGCAAGTCTTATACAAAAGCATCACTTTTTGGTGAAGATTAGGGATAAAGTAAAAGTAGGGAAATAACACTGACCGATGTAGTTCAATCATTTTATGTTCCTGGAGGAATTTCACTCTGACTTTGAGAAGATATTCAATATCTCTTTACTTAAACAGAAAGAAGTGGTAGACCACTGTTACAGGTTGTACTAAGGGGTTAAAATACAACTTGAATTTTGCATAATCTGTGTAAAAAAGATATGCTTGACATCTTGGAATGTCACCTTTCTTCATAGAATTATAGGCAAGATTTCTCCAATAAAACATAAGCCAGTTATAAAACTATAACTTCACATCAAAATTTTAAAAAGTTGTTAAAAAAATGTTTGATTATATACATATCACACAGAAGAGCCTGCATGATCCTGTGGATTGTGTTGTCGATCAGACTCAGACTCTATTTTAAAACCTGGAAGGGGCTGGGCCACCTGATCTGGTTGCACAAGTCCTGATATTGAAGAAACAGAGGAGGACAGCACCCCTGTTGTAAGCTGCATTTCTATACCTGGTTCTTCAGACTCTGTTTTTACACTCACACATTGGGGTTGACATTCTGACTCTGTCTTTCCAGGAACACTACTGTTCAAGCTTGAACTGCTTTCTGCATTTTGAGAAGTCTCCCCCACAGGGTGATATTGTTTAAGTCTTATGTGCCAGGCTAAGCTGCAGACTGCTGACACTGTTTTGAACTGATGAATGACATTTCTAGGGATGAAGTAGATGTCATTGTCACACAACTGAATTCTAGCATAGCGAATGCCTTCCCGTCTCATTTGGTTTAGTTTGGCTTCATCCACCCATTGAACACACTGAGAGAAGGAAAGATGGTAAAGTTAGTGGTATACTCTGTTTAGAGTAAACAATTCAGTATCCACCTATTTTCAACGTACTTCGTGCCTACATCAGAATGTTTCTGTTTAGCAGGTAAAACTTTCAATTTAAATAAGAATTGGACTTTTAAAATATAATTTATCTAATGTGCACATCTTGGGAGAGGACAATGAACAGTTAAGAGCATTCTACAGACGTAGTTGAAAACAGTAGGTTCAACATGAGGCTGCACTGTTTTGGCTGACAGGAGTGACTTTAGATGTCTTCACATCGTAAGACAACATCGGTATTAGAAAAAGCAGAAACAGGCATATGTGACTTCTTAATCAACTTCTAATTGTTTCTATAGCACGTATCATGACTCACAGCATAAATCCCAACTTGGCGGAAAGGAAACACTAGATGATTGCTGCGGGTCCCTTCCAACTGAACTATTCTGAAACATGAGAAGGGAAATTGCGCAAGGAAGGTGTGAACTGAGGGCCACGGAGGATGCAAAAGGGCTGGCTATACAGTGAACCTAAACACTGTCAGAAGCTATTTCCAAAATGCTAAGAATAAGCTATCACTAAGGAAGATCCAATACCTGTGACACTGGAGGTTCATGCAGGTCCAACTGAAGTCTCTGCACAACATCAGTGAAATCTTCAGCATGAAAACAAACCACATCTTTGGTTATACGAGGCTGATCACTCCTAGAAAAAGATCAGAATTGCAGGAATTTTTAAAGAATTTGAGTTATAGAGAATTATAGCTCTTTCTGGCAGAAAGTTTCATTGAACCAATGATCTACTTCAGTTTTACACTGTGCACAGTCTCATCGCTTCAATACATGTATTGCTTTGAAGAGGAGGTATAATTCAGAGATTTCTTTTTTTTTCCATTTTACTTCTTGCTTGACGCGTGCACAACAGAAGTGATGTTTCCATGGACAAATACTATACTGAAATGTCCAAGAACTAGGTTCAAATTGCCACTATCAAAGTTCTCTGTATGTTCTAGGAACCACAATTTGCCTCAATACTTCCATTCTACAATTAGACAGTATAATTCTGTATTAAAGGAAAAACAAAGTAACAAAGTGACTCTGAAGCTCAAGCAATGAGGAGCTAGGTTTTACTCAATGGCTGTGAATCAGAGTAAAGGAAGTTCTGGCACCTTTTATTCATATGAAAATCTAATGATATTGCTAATGATGCTATACAATTTCTACTGTAATTGCTAGAAATAACAATGATGCAAGTCTAGTTTCTGTGCAAGGTCAACAGCAATGTCCTGGGTACCTGAAATGAGAAAGCACTGTAGCGTGAAATTAATTACATTGAGTTCTTAGATTACCATTAGAGAAGTTAGCATTAATATACCTATTCAGGAAAAGAACAATCACAGATGATGGTCCAGGCATGGTATCTTAAGGTTTTTGTATGTCATTACAATTTTCTGCAAACTGCTGTTACAACTTTTCCTCTGCTTCAAGAAGAGGGAAAAATAGTAGGTATACAGCTTGCGTTCTTCAAGCTGTAGACAGCATTTATCCCATTGCAGGGTTTAAACCATTTCTTTGATTAGGTTTGTTTTCCAATGAATTTTCCTTTAAGAGAGAAAATGTTTAGAATCACCCCCTCCTACTAGAACAGTTGCATTTCAGCGGCACTTACCATTCCCCAAACTGCACAGCCTTCAGAACACCCACAGCAGCTGTACTCTGCCAGTCAAACCCCTGACCCACATGATCTGCATGAGCTCTTGTTCTGTCTTCAAACAGAACCTCACGGGGCTCACTGGTCCGAGGTAGGTACTGCAGATTCTTTATTTCATTCATTGACCTACAACATAAGACGACACACTAAAAAAATGTTTCAGACTACTCAAAAAGAAATACTTGTATTAAAATAATCTTAAGATGTTGTGTGCTGCAGGCTTCAAACTCAAAGATCAAAGCACTACCCTCTGATTTCTTCTAGGTGTTTATTTGACAAAAGACTGAAAAAAATACAGCAAAGTACAATTCAGGTTGAGATCAAACTTTATTAAAAAAAATCCAATTGCCAAAAAAATTTTTTTGTTCACTTGCACTGAAGGAATTCTTCCTGAAATTTAATGGTATGTAAAACAGAGCTATTTTAATAGATACTGAAGTTTAGTTATTCGGGAGTATGTCAAAAAATTCTGTTTGAAGTTACAATTAAAATATACTTCCAATCCTTTATCTCCTAAGATTTGCTGTACAGCACACACCTTCTGAGAAAGACAGCAAGTATATATGTATACCACAGTATTTCCTGAGAAGGCACATAGTATTACAAACGCTTCAGCACTAACGTTAAAATGCAACATGAATAGTCTACGGATCTCCGCTGCTTTAGAACATTTCACCTGCCCTCACCACCAAATTAGTTCCTTCCACAGAAATAAGATGAATAAAAGAAGTCTCCTGAAGGATAATAAAAAGATGTTTCAATCTTAAGAAAGCACTCATCTAGGACATACTACTATGAAAGTGACGAAATAAAATAACCACCACAAATCACATATTTGTCTTACCCGCTAAGCCAATTTGAAACAGAAAGGAAAATGAAACTTAAATCCGTGAATTAGCCTTCTGAAGAAATAGTTACACAAAGTATTTAGGTTTTGTTCTCGAATCTAACACAGACACAACTGCAATGCTTTACCTTTAATACGGAAAGGAAAACAAAACATTACCGGCGTCTTTTGAATGGTGATTTTGGCATATCAGCTGTTGGGATCATCTGCTCTCCTGGTCTCACCCACATTATGGGACCATCATCACTTTGTGACCTGCACTGAAGTCTGAGACTAGAAAGAGTACCCCAGGGCAAAGTCATCTAAAAGAAAATAAAAACAAAACAACCCACAAAACACACATAACACAAAACACTGGGTGAGATAGAAAAATTAAGTGATGCCTTTGGTAACACTGGTTCAAATTTGCTGTCAAAAGAATTGCATAGAAACTAAAGTAAGTTTGAGAGGTAAAATATATTCCAAGCTAACTTTATCAAGCTTAGTTTTTAGGGAAGCAGATTATTATGTGGTGCTTACGTATGAGAAACTATATTTAATTTTTTAATTATTCACACAACAGCAGCTACCTAACTCAGCAGCTTTTGTTTGGACACAGGAAAGAATGTCCCTCAGTAGCCCAAATGATAAGCACATCAACAGGGAAAATACTTTATGGTTTCTAACTACTTGGAAATATATGAAACTTAGTAATTGTTTAAATATCTATAGCGCCTCTAAACAAAACACCACAAGCTACTGCTTACTCTGAGAAATGGAGATTCTTCTAACATATCTAGAAATTCTGGGAAGTAGTCCCCAACTTCTTCATCCACTGCTCCAACAAGACTGATCTGCCGCATTGGTCCTGCTCTGTATGTTCCACAGCAGTACGTTCGATTGACCTGAGTGACCAGAAAAAGACAATACCGCCAGAGTTTTAATTCTGTTACAAGGGATTAAAATTGTTTAATATAATACACTAGGCCACAGCTGAGATGAATCTTGGTCTCATCTACACAACTCATCTACATCTATTTCATTAGAGATGCCTTTGGGAACATACACAGGAACTGTTTAGAACAGATGCCCATAGGGTATCCAAAGAGAAAAAAACTCATGTCTGTATTACTGACAGGAAATACTTCTAAAATTTGAATAATAGCAAGTTAGTATTTGACTAATGCAGGAACAATTCAACAATTCCAGGCTGACGTGAGAAAACCACCACACACTTTCATTGTGACTCAGTCTTCCACCAGCAAACTTAAACTCTCTACTAATTTGTGCAGTTGACTGTTGCTTCTATATTTCAAACTGTATGTTACTGAAATATGTACATTCTTCACTTCAATCATGTCCTATAGGTCTTTTCACTATGACTGTTGTGAAAAATATGTGTTCTTCATGCAGTGGTTCTGATAATATTGCTATAGTGTATACATAAATTGGACAAAAAAATTGAGATGAGAGGTCTAGCTAGAAATCCAGTGTTCATGTACAATAATTTTAGGATTGTTTTAGGATTTGCAATTTAACCTGTTGTCACTGCTGTGGCCAGAAACACTTTCATCTCACTTCGAGCTTTTTGACATCCTCTGTCACACAGACTGTCCCACTTTCCCAGGTCATCTGGAAACTTTTCTGGCCAATTTCCTGTTCCAGGAGGAGAACTACGGCTCCAGCATTCTCTAGTCTTGTCCTATGGACTGCAGCTATAACATGCCCTATGGCCACAGAGTAGGTTGGATGTAGATGCAGCAGCTATTCAATCTTAAAAGATCAGAAATTCTGCCATAATTAGTCTGGTTTGTGTGCTCAATTGTGTCTGAGCCCCAACCTTCCATCCCTCTTCAACAGCCTCTCTACATTCCTTAAGTGGTTCCAGTAGTGAAAAACTGCAGCCAATCTCCATGGCTAAGTGGTGAGACAGGTACAAAAGACAGAGGGTTACTGGTAAATTTGCAATTTTATAGTCACGTTCAGAAAGTGTGATACCTTTCATAACTCCATTTATAGATATATGTATGAAGCAGCTTCATTTTAAGTTTTACAGTTTAGGCAACGAACCACATGTAGTTAAACTACTCCATGAAGTTGTTAAAAGGTAAATTAGGAGAGACTAATAAAGCAAGAGTTACAGTTATGGCTGCAATTTTATCCTCTAGCAGCAGCTATAGGATATTTAGCTGCTTAATTACAGGAGTTTAGTTCCCTCCTATTTCCAGTCGTTTCTTTAGCTTTGTATGTATGCAGTTGGCAGTTCTGCAGTGATTGCACACACATTTTAATTAAAAGCTAAGTAGGAGCCAAAGACGACTTCACATACAGCTTTATTCCTCAGCCCTACGCCAACTACTGCACCACATCACTCTACCTGCATGTGTAGAAGTTTACATCCTAAGTCACTCACAGACCGTCATTGTGCAGCTCAACCACTCTACCTTCAAGTCCCTCAAGACCAGCAGCAGCTGAAGGAGCACATACCAGCTTCCTGCGTTTGACCAGACAGATTTTATGAACCAGGCACTGTCTCCAGAGGCTGTTAATTCTTTTTGGCTGTTGCCATAAGAGAAAGTTAAGTCTCCAAATCCTATTAGAACATTACCAGTAAAGGTTCATATCTAACATCAGTGAAGGGGAACGATTTCACCAGCTAGCTAGAATGCAATTCAGAGAGTAGTACTGGAAAACCATAGCACTATTCTAGTTCTGTGCACCTATGGCAGAACTAAGGACTGAAACGCTCTGGTCCTTAAGCCAGTTAAACCTAACTGCCTAGTACTATTAAAGTATGTGGAGATAGACTACTTCCAGATGAGATTTATTCTATTGAAGCCACCTGTTGAGATTCACGAGTATTTCACAGGTGTTTGTCACAAGTTAAAACGAATTATAGTACCATATGCAGTTTTTCCTTGTAATGTTTTTGAAGGGAATGAAAACTAGAAGCTTTAAGATTATTTTCTTTTTATGCACTAGAACGCAATGAAAAAATAGAAAATAATTCAAGAGCTATAAAAGAAACACTAGAAATATCTGAAGGAAATTGTAGATTTCAATGTTTTGCTAGTTTTTAATAAAACTTAAAGAAACATATATAGTTGAGAACTAAAACCAGGACATGTTTCCACTGAAAATATGTACCAATTCATGGCAATCTCCAGCAGGCTGTAGCATTCATCTCAAGCACCTCAATCACAGAGGTTGTAGTCTACTGGTTTAATATGCTATAAAAAAATTCCTTCACATATAGTTTCTGTCTCATCCTTAATTCCTCCAGAGCAGCACAAATACTAATACTACTGGTTAGGTTAGTGGTCTCAAGAACATGGAAGTGCTAAGACCTTGTAATAACAAGCACGCTCATGACCATCCAAAAGAACAGGCATCTTGCTCATGGGACACCAAACCACCCAACTGTAAAGGAAGACCAAGTAACCTGCTTGCTGCACCTTCTTGCAAACTACTTTGACCTGTCTCCCACGGCATTCTCCTGGAGAAACTGGCAACTCATGGCTTGGACAGGAATACCCTTTGCTGGGTGAAAAACTGGCTGGCCGACCGTGCCCAGAGAGTGGTGGTGAATGGAGCTAAATCCAGCTGTCGGCTGGTCACGAGTGGTGTTCCCCAGGGCTCAGTGTTGAGGCCAGTCCTGTTTAACATCTTCACTGATGATCTGGACAAGGGGATTGAGTGCACCCTCAGTAAGATTGCAGATGACACCAAGCTGGGTGGGAGTGTTGATCTGCTGGAGGGTAGAAAGGCACTACAGAGGGATCTGGGCAGGTTGGATTGATGGGCCGAGACCAACTGTATGAGGTTCAACAAGGGCAAGTGCCGGGTCCTGCACTTTAGTCACAACAACCCCATGCAACGCTACAGCCTTGGGGATGAGTGGCTGGTGAGCTGCCCAGCAGAGAAAGACCTGGGGGTGTTGGTCGACGGCCAGCTGAACATGCGAGTGGATCAGGAGCCGGCAGTGTGCCCAGGTGGCCAAGAAGGCCAGCAGCATCCTGGCCTGTATCAGAAATAGCGTGGCCAGCAGGACTACAGAAGCAATCATCCCTTTATACTCTGCACTGGTGAGGCCACACCTTGAATGCTGTGTTCAGTTTTGGGCCCCTCACTACAAGAAGGACATTGAGGTGCTGGAGTGTGTCCAGAGAAGAGCAACAAAGCTGGTGAAGGGCCTGGAGAAAAAGTCTTATGAGGAGCGGCTGAGGGAGCTGGGGGTGTTTAGTCTGGAGAAAAGGAGGCTGAGGGGAGACCTTACCACCCTCTACAACTACCTGAAAGGAGGTTGTAGCGAGGTGGGGGTTGGTCTCTTCTCCCCAGTAACTAGTGATAGGACAAGAGGAAATGGTCTTAAGTTGCGCCAGGGGTGTTCAGGTTGGTTATTAGGAAGAACTTCTTCACTGTAAGAGTTATTAGGCATTGGAACGGGCTCCCCAGGGAGGTGGTGGACTCACCATCCCTGGAGGTGTTCAAAAAATGTTTAGATGTGGTGCTTCGAGACATGATTTAATGGCTTTAGTGGGCATGGTGGCACTGGGTATACGGTTGGACTTGATGATCTTTGAGGTCTCTTCCAACCATAATGATCCTATGATTCACCAAGCACTCTAGATGCACTCTTAACAGCTATATTAATTTCACAGTCATCTTCATGCACCCCCTTCTACAGGGAAGAAAGATGAGACTATGAAATACCTCAAGTCACTTTGTTATATCCACTAGAACCTTTTTGAAAGTTTCTTATTTCTGTTTAAAGTTCAATTCTTGTTTAGGAACTTAGCCTGGGTCATTCCCATTTACATGGCTGTCAGAAATGAGTAACTTCTAGCAATGAAGGTGTTGTGGTAACAATTAGTTCAATATGCTTCTTTAAAAACATTAGGGGATCGTATCTGTAGATAGTGGCAGTTAGTACTCACCAGATCACGCACCATCTTTACTGTTGTAAAAGGACCACTGGGCTAGTAAGACCACTCAGGTGTCCTGTGCCCTTCCAAAATGCCAAACAGCTATCACTACCCTATGTGTCCCCTACTCCATTCAGTATCACACTAAAAGTGAAGTTACAGGCACATCTTAAATCAGCTCTTCAGTGTTCATGGACACATTTTTAGCAGCTGAATGATGTGCCTATCAGTGTTTCACACACTTGAGCGAGAACAGAAGTAGACAGCATCAGCGTTTCCTGCAGAAGTTACAGATCTGGTATGTGCACGTTACTGAAGTAATTCAGACCCCTGCCTCATGAAGGGTTAAGCACGCAGTACACCTCTGTGCAGTAAGAAGTGGACATGCAGATAAGGCATAAGCTTGAGACAAATAAGGTTAAATTTCAGAAGTTTCTCTCTAGTTTCAAGAAAAGCCTAAATCAGTTGACAGTGACAATATTTTAGTATGTCAAGACAGCTACAAAACCAACCACACACTCTGCCACAAGGAAGAAAGCAAGAACACAAGAAGGCTTACTATTTACAACAGAAGGAAAGGAGGACAGTGTGACATGCAATTACAGCAAGGGTTATATGTTTGACTAAAACCTGTCAGATATTTCAGTAAGACCATCAGGCATTATTTATATGGCTTAAGTGATAAACCAAATTAAGTTTGCAGTACAGATGCACAATTTCTCCATTTCATACTGTGACAGTTTCTACTAAAAAAGAAATTGCCCTTCCAAAATAAGAGACGTTTTTCCAGGAGTAAGAAAATTTAAGATGGGGCAGACAAACCATGATAAGGTTCATTAACCAAAGCTGTCAGGAATAGAGTAACCTTTTCTGACAGTATGTCACAGGAGTAGGAAAACTTATCCTGTTATATCACCTGCTGGTTGCTTCTCCCACCTCCTTCCCAGAAGGAATAACAGCTTATGTAAAACCTACTTCCCCCAACTCTTTCCCAGCCTGTTCGCAGAACCCCCACTCCTTTGTGACAGTTTAATCGTTCTTGGACCATACAGAGAATGGATCAGGCAGTTAATCAGTTTCTTCCTGGAAAAAAAGAAGTGGTTTTTCAAGTCTAGATATATTCCAATTCACTGAGTAGATGCAGAAGCAGTTGTACTGAGAGAACTGACAGGGAAAATAAGAGTTCATTCTAGCTGCCCTGCTAAGAACTTCCAAATTGAAGTATGCCCTTATGCAAAGAAAGCTTACAAATTACTGTTCAGTGATTTGAGTCTTGAAAGCTCTTAGCCCAAGTGAATAGCTCCAAACTAAAGCTTACCTTTCGCACTAAAGTATTAGAACAAATGAGTCAGAGCCGATGCAAGCAAAAAAATCCAGAGAACATTGAAGTTCAATTATTTTTATATACAGAAACCAAACAGTTATACTACAAATACATACTGGAGTGCTTTGTTATAAACATTCATTTTACATTGTCCTCACTGCCTGGAGAACAAAGGAATTCATCTTGCAAGGGAGTTAATTATCACTGGATTTTTATGAAGTCTTTCAGATTAAAGTCCTTGTTTTGAATTGCAGAAACTTCCTACTATAATTCAGTTTGTCTGAAAAGGTACACAAACCAGCTGAATGTTGTACAAGCCAAAGGTCACATTAACTTTCAGTTAAGTTGCAGTTTACAGATCAAATTTTGATTTCTTGACACCAAGTCTCCAGGACTCAAGACTACCTAATGCTCAAAATCCCCTTGCTGCAGTATGGTTCAGTACAGCGAATGAATTCAGGCATACAGAAGGTTCAACTTAGAATGGAGGTGATTTTAATCAATTATCTTCCATTAAAAATAGTATCAGTATTACAGCATACCACCATAACATGCCTAATCTGCAAAGGCATAACTATAAAGTGCTTTTGTATTGTACAATTTCTCATACTGGAAGGTCCAAAAATGAAGCTTAGCCAATCTGTTCACTCCTCAACAGTGCTGTCAAGGAACAGCAGTAAAACAGCCAGACTTATCCTCCCTGTGCTCTCTTAAGCAGGGCATTTTAGCCTTCTCTATTTAAAGATAAGATAGCTTGCAAAACTTCAGTTTTATCAGCATGCAGCTACCATAGTGGAATCTACCATCAATTTGAATCCATCCTTAAACTACATACTTTACCATCATCTATATTCTCTGAAGAGTCCCATTTCATCTGTCTTAAGAGTTGTGACAACTATACTCCTCTATGTTTGTCCAGTGTGTGAACTGCACTAACATACTCCAGCCAGAGAGGATTAACCACGTCGTGCTGAAGCTGGGTTTAGAGAATGTTTTAGACTAAGTGAACCTTATGTCATGACTCAATCTTAACCAAGTTTAGACAGTACTTAAAATAGAATTAATTGAAATACCAGCACAGACTATAACCCAGTGAAGCCTCTGATTTATTACCATACATTCCTCACATGTATTTATAGTGTAACCTATTCATGTTCACAAGATGGAGACATTCACCACGAAAAACTAATTGTTAAATACCCAATTGGCACTGTTTAGCCATTTTAGGGGTCATCACATGTACTTAAAGTAAATTAGACCATAGTCATGTCAAAGACCACAGAAAAATCACTAATACAGAAGAGTTTAAAACCTAACCTGTGGTCAAGTTTCACATCTGTTGAGCACAGGTGTGTACTGTGCAAAAGTGTTCTTGCCAATAGCAGCAGTTTGCATGATCAGACAGACTGTTTTTGGAGTACTATGCACTCTGATGCAGCTCTGTCAGCAAAAACAATTACTTAAACCAACAAATAGAAGCTGGTTTAAAGTAAATGCTGCAGCAGCTACTTATTGTCAAACAAATTCATAAGCAAACTGTCAGAATTACTAATTTAATGATATCTATGACAAATACTGGAGAGTATTCAAAGGCTCTGCAAGTGACCATGCAGTAACTTTCTGAAAAGCAGTAACTGTTTTTCAAATGCAAATCTTGCTTATAAGCATTTGGTAAACTATGGAGAGATCCAAGTAGCCCACCCACAAGCACTACCATTTCAAAATCTGTTGCTAAAGAAGGTCTGTTCCAACAGCACTGCAGTGCACTCTGCTACAGAGTTTCAGGTTTTTCCTTCCAATAGGCAAACCAGTAGAAGTAATTAAGGTCTTGAATAAAGACTTTAAAAGTAATCAGCAGTTTGAATCTATTCTCAGACTGGTCTAAGCAGGAAGAGGTTTTATTCCATCTGAAACAAATTTATCTAAACTGTAATGTTGCTGTATGTTCATAGATACCTCTAAGCTTGATCACAAGAGTCAAATGTAAGGGTTTTTCATATGGGAATCTTGAAATTAGCTTAATTATTACTGTTGCATCTAAGTTATACAGAGATACAGTTTGAGAATAAGATAGTTTAAACCTACTACGGAAATTAAGATAAGTATATAAAATGAAAACCTTTTTCAAAGGCAATTAAAAAAATATTCCAACCACCTCTCTGAAGTTGGAAAGTTTAAACACCCAGTATCAGCTACTGATGAAATTAAAGCATTGAAAAAAACTCACTTGTTGTGAATGATACACTGAAACCTGAAAAGTAACATCATTGTAAAAAAAAAAAAACCCAGATCCATTGAATATAACAAGCAGTGCTAGTGTTTGCAATCTATACAACTCTTAATACAGACTTGGCTATTGTTTTGAACAATGTCAGTGTTCTCCCAAGTTTAGAAGATCAACTGAATGTCTGCAAGAAGATCAGTGTAGATCTTTCTACAGGTCATGGTTAGTAATGTCTGAAATGCGATTCAACTACCAGTGGGCACAGAAGATTTTTAAGCAGAAACACAAGTAAACAGCACAGCAGCAGTAGTCCCAACATCACCTTTTTCCATGTGCTTAGAAAAAAATTTGTGCCTCACCTATTTTAGGTCATCCCTGCTCTGGATTAATGAGATTAATCAAATCTAGGTGTTGTAACTTTTATGCCTTTAAACAGTTCTTACCTGAGAGTGAAAGTTTGAAATTGTTGTTGTTTCAATGTCCTTCTTGCCCAAAATTTCCATTTTCACTGGAGTGTTAGGAAAGTTAAAAGCAAAGTAATCCAGGAAGTCTGGTAAATAAGCAGCTGCTCCATGTACTATGGCTAAAGCATAGTAAGCTGCGTTTTTATCATTTTCACTGAATGACAATGCAAGAAACTCTTCTGCAAATCTCTCCATCTCCACTGGAGACAAAAATGAGAGTTCATCCATGTAAGCATGAAGGACCAGAGCACCACCATTGGACTGATGTTCTTCGTGAATGAAGTTACTAAATTTAGTGCCAGTTTTCAAGAAGCTGCTGCGAACAGAATGCTCCTGGTGTGTCACAAATGGTGTTTGTACTCCCTGGGGTATTCGATACTCCTGCATACCCAAATTCAGTCTGCAGAGCTGCTCATCCTTCAGATACCTGAAGGATTCCTTGTTCATTTCTAAGTTATCACACTGTCCTTGAGACAGAGTCTCTTTGTCAATGCGAGTGAGTCCAGCACACACTGTCTGCACTTCCTTGTTGTACATCTTCAGGCGTTTTCCCCTCATATCTTCCCGGTGTTTCTTTTTCTTTTTTTTCTTTATTTTCTTCATAATAAGACTGTCAGCTCGCTGAGTTTTGCCATTTTCATCTGGAGTTTCTGGCAGTAACAATAAAGAGAAGATTAGAGTTCGGCAGTCGCAGCATATTCATCCAAAAAGAATAAGACCTTTCATTTGCTAAAGCTGTCTACTCCCAGGAAGACTGACCAATAGTAATACCTTGACTTTCAACTTACAAGACTTAATTATAGAACAAAAGATGCAGTACATCTAATTATGTGAAGAAAGCCTTGAATTAAAGAAAGCTTCCAAAACTCAAGATTGAAATATTTCTAAAAATATTAATCTAATAGATTTATTAGAATATCTTTAAAAGGACTCCATATTTCAAAACATCTATAATGAAGTACATTAATAACTTCTGACATTTAAGGCAGTGCAATGCAGGGGAAGAGGATAAACAAGTATGTGTAACATTTAATCATTAAGACTTTCATTACAGAACATTTCCCTGGTTTTGGATACACAATATAGAAGCAAAACAGAGTGCAACTGAAGAGGTACAAGCATTATTGACATTTAGAGGTAAAAATACTTAAAGCAGCTTTCTGGAAAAAAAATAAATATCTTAGACTGCTGATGATCTGTATTAAAATATCTAAATCACATCCACTTCTAAAAGCCAAGAGACAAAAATGTAAAGAAGTAGTTCTGTTAGGCAAGATGTAATAGTTTAATTGTTCATTTAGGAATAAAAGACTAGTTCAAATAATATTTAGCAAGTGACAATAGTAGTTAGAAATCTTCATGGTTCAATTGCCAAGATAAGATTTTAATCTGCCTGAATCGAAGAATTATTTCATGTCAACAAGACATATAAACCTCTAAGAGCCATATTACCAGTATAGCTCTGGGGATCAGAGCAATCTGCTGCTTAAGGTAACATCTGACTAGAAGACGCAATAGGCAGTTTCAGTTTCCTGCAGCACAGAGCTTCGTGCTAGCAAATTTTCGTTTCTTTGTCTACAAAGCTATCAAATTTGTATTCCTTCTTTACTCTCTTGCAGTACTTGGAAGTTAAAAAAAAAAAAACATGTTACACTCATCTATGAGAAAAGGTGTAATGACTAATACATACAGCTTCAAGTTATTTAGTCTAACCACAGTATTTAACTGTATCATTACTAGTTTGGTCTTGGAGCTCTTTAGTAAAGATGGTTGACCTTCATAACAGCCTGGCGTAATGAACAGAATTACTCATGAAGCAAAGAAAGAGTTGATTGCCTAATACTAACTTCATACAATTGTCTTAGGACCTGAAATACAAGTTTTCACATACTGCTGTTAGCCTTTACAAACAGCAAATGCCCTTATTTTTATACTACAGCTAGGGGAACCAGGAAAAGAAAGGTGGTATCACTTGTTTTGGCAAGTCAGCTGAAAGTTCTTTGAACAAGGTTTTCCGGAAGTCTCAGAAGCTAAGTGCACATAAGCTCACTCAATCACTAAGCTCTTAAGTATAGATACTGCTTTACTAACTGCAACGAACATACTAATCACACAGAAGATCTTTGTTCTGGTGGGAGCAGAGATTCCAAGCTGAAACTAAACAAGAATTTCACGCCACCACTGCGCTGCTGGGAATGCTTCCCTGTAGGTGTTACCAAGTTAGTTTTTGTTTATTAAAGGTGCCTTATTTTAAGCATTTCTAAGTTTAGATTTGGTTTAAAAACCTCAGATATGCACTAGTTTGAATTCAGAGTATCTTCCTTCTTGAAGATATTCCCTAAGAGCAGACGTACACCTAGCACTCTGCATTTTGGAACTTCCAGTGAACACTGGTCTATTTTCATGATAAAAGCCATCCTGACCGCTGCTGTATCCACTGAACACAGCAGAGTCCCACTACTACAGGGAGAGTCACGTCTGCATTAAGTGAAGGTAGACAGTGACATTATGATAATGCCTGACAATCTTCAAAGAAATATAGTTTTAAATTCCTCTAAATAAATGGAAAGCCTCCAGTACCTCAAACACAAAGCAAGCTATAGCCAGGTCATCAAACTATGAGCTCCCACAGTGAGGCAGAACAACAGAGGGCCAATAACTCAGTTAGTCTGAAACTATTAAACATCACATAACTGAACATACTAGTATCACCATTAAACAGCAAAAAAACTGGAGATGTTCACTGTCACCTGTGGCCAGAGACAAGAATAGAATAGTCAAAGAAACAGGCAGATTAATCAGTTTATACGTTGAAATAAAAACTGATACTGAAAGACAGGAAAAGAAATCCAGCCCCATCCTGAAACCCACTACATATGCAGTCTAGGAAAAAACAGTTAAGAGGTTCAGACTTCCAGTTAACAGTTTTCCTTTACAAATCTGGAATTGAGATAGTAGTTCTAACAGTCTTTAAGCCTTCATTAAAAGCTGGCCTCATTTGATCAGTGGGTTAGAACTGACATACAGTGATACTCCCAGTTTATGAAGATATACTACTTCTGCAGTTTTATCAAGCTAAATTTTGAAGTTTACAGTCCAGTAGCTTTTGTAGTCATTGTTCAAACACAGTGGTTTAGAAACATTAAACAGTAGTGAAAAAGTCTCCCCGTAACAGTTTTGCCCATTCTTAAGACAGTACTATCTACAGTTTACACTAGACACCTAACTTTTGTAAGCACGTGCGCCTTTGGTTTCTGTGGCACAATACCTTCACATGTACTCCTGAAGCGTAATTCACAACGTAGTATCTTTATTACAGCAGCTTTCACAATTGCTTTTTATCTATGTTGCTCTGATCAACAGGCTTTTTACTATCACAAATTTGTGAGCAGAACCAACAGTCATTCTGTACTGTCAAAAAAACCAACACCACCCCACACACCCACACCCCCACCCCCAAATCCAGAGACATTTTAGCATTCCTATTAAAGAAATCTCAGGGCATTTATTAAAAAACAAAACAAAACAGCAGCTTCTCAATTCTAGTATACGTTAACGCAAGCATAGTAGGAAGAAAGCTTTACTACCAAAGCACTTGTATTTTGAACCTGCACTGGGGGCAATTCTGAACAGCAGCAGTAGGGCAAGAGCAGCAGCACCAGAGCCCCCATTCCTCGCACGAGGAGCCCGCAGCCCGGTCCCTCTGCCCCACGCACCGGGGCTCCGCGCTCAGTCCTAAACTGGAAGAAGTGTCCTGCCCCGCTACGGCTAGGAACCACGACGAGGACTACCAAATCCACAGTCCGCTCACGCTACCTTGCATACCTCCACACGAACGCACACACAGATACGCTCAGGGCTCCGAGAGCAGCGAGCATTCCTCTCCGCTCCCGCCTTCGCCCGGGCAGACGAGGCCGAGCCCGACCGAG